TTGTGTATTGCCAACACATCGGGATGGGTCGGTGGGATGACTGTGGGGGCATCGGAGGCGGTCACGCGCGGATGCGGTCAACATCAGTTTCACCACGCAGGTTGCATCACGTAGCTTGCATCCACAGAATCCCCGAAGAGTGCTTGCACTTCTGGTTTTGTTGTTCTTGTTAATTTGTTTTTCGAGGGAACTGGGTTGGTTAATCCGATGATTTGTTCCTTGCGCCACATAGGGTAGACCGCACTACGTGCGCCATGTAGATTGCACCACGGAACTCGCAGTACATAGCTTGCACCGTACAGCTTGCACCGTACAGCTTGCACCGCCTGGCTTGCACCAGATCCCTCACACCACGTAGATTGCACCACATAGCTTGCACCATACAGCTGGCACCACGTAGACCGCACCAGATAGCTTACACCGCGTAGCGTGCACTACGTAGCTCGCACGCCCACGGTGCAACAACTGCCGATGAATTGGCTCGGTGTGTCGTGGTGCTTTCACGGGGCCGCCCTTGGCCGCCTCGTGGCAGCCTCGTGCGGTGGGTGGTTCCGGCGACATGTCGCCACGCTGCCGCCCGTGGCCGCCTTTGCCCTGCACGACGTATGCCGAGCTGCACATCGAGGCTTCGCCGCGTCGCCGCTCGTGGCCGCCTCGTGGTGCACACGGCATGGCTTACACCGCATTGCTTGCCCAACATGGCTTGCAGCACGCAGGTTAAGCCACATAGCTTACACCACGTGGCTCGCGCCACATAGGTTTCACGACATAGCGTTCACCACATAGCTTGCACCGCCTAGCTTACACTGCCACAGTACAATAATGCACTGTTTAGGGTCCACGCTGGCCACCGCTGCACCACATGTACCGTGCAGACGGCAAAATATGCGTTGCACTACGTCGTTTGCACGCCACATGTTGAATCTCATGTGCTGCACCTCATAGCTTGCGCCATTCAGACTGTGCCTCGTGTGTCGCACCACCTTGTTGCGCCGCGTAGCCTGCACCGCACAGCCTGCAATTCCCGATCGCAGGATCTCCCTGGTTGGGGGGCCCACGCTGGAAGCCTTCAGATAATAAAGGCGAGAGCTAGGAGGAGGAGGTGCAGGAGGAGGAGGAGGAGGGGGAGGAGGAGGGAGGAGGAGGGAGGAGGAGGAGGAGGGAGGAGGAGGGGGGAGGGAGGAGGAGGAGGAGGAGGGGGAGGAGGAGGAGGAGGAGGAGGAGGAGGAGGAGGAGTCTCTGCCGACGGGTGCCGTATGTGCCCCGTGCAGAGTGGCAGATTCTACGTCCGACCTTGGCATTCCGAGCTCTATGAGCAAGTGCCTGCCAGTTCAGCTGGGCGTTCGCTGACGCATCGCGCGCACGATGCGTAAGACCTGCTCGCCGTGCCGTGCCCACGAGAGCCGCAAGCGGTGTGCCGTGCCTGCAGCACGTGATTGTGCCAGGGCGTGCCTGCGCCCGCACGTGGAGTTGGAGCGAGGCTGTGTGTGTGTGTGTGTTTGCCGCCTCGGAGTGGGAGGCGCACTTGGTGCAGCAGCTGGGGAACCAGCCGGACCGCTCCATGGTGGGGGGGGGCAGCGTCTTGCTCCTGCGCCGCGCTGGTTAGGGTCGACCGCTCACTGTCTTGGTAGCCCCCTCCCCGAGGAGGAGGAGGAGGAGGAGGAGGCGGAGGAGGAGGATCGTCGGCGATGGACAGTGATCGTTGACAACTTGCCCGCTCTGTATTTCTTGTGTGGGCCGCGAGGGCCCTCCCTCCCACCCTGGTCGTGCTTCCTGTCTCCCCCGGGCGGCCTGCTCTCCGACGTCCAGACGCCGCAGTGGAATCCGGACCAGCGCGGAGTGGATTTGCTGGGTGTTCGTCTTGGTGACCTTCCTGGGCCCCTTGGCCCGCCAAGCGGATCTGGTCGGCTCCAGCGCATCTCCAGTTCGGCTTTGGTCCGAGCCTAGCTCGACTCAAGTTCGAGTCAGGTTGGAAGCTGCGCGATTTGTTGCGCTGACTTCTGCGGCCGAAACTCCGTTCAGAACCTGTCAGTGCAGATGCCCCGGGGAAAAGCCAAAAAACGTTCGAGTCAAGTTCGGCTCAAGTCGGCCGGCGTTCGACGCAGCAGCGACGCAAGATCGGAGGGCGAGCGGCTCGAGGAGGGTCACCAGGACGACCAGTCTTATGATGTTCCAACCTGCTTTAGCCTTGACCACCAGAAGCAATTTCGAGCACCAAGAAAGTACCAACATTGGAGGGTTTTCACGTGTCGGGCCCTGGGAGGCGATACTCTTTCGACACTGCTTCGATACTTTTCTGGGTGTTCGAAGTTATTTCTGGGATGTGGAGTACGATGGGAGGGGCATAAGACGAGTCTAATATTCGAAAACGGGTGCTGGACTTCCGTGTGCGCCCCCCTGGTTTTTCCTCCCCGCTGGCCGCCGTGCTCCCTCGTCGGCCGGCCCCGCGCTGGTTATCTCGTTTCGATGTTCGTTCTGGGGACCTTCCCGGGGCCCACCTGTCGGATCTCTTCGAGTATAGTTCGGCCCTGGTTCGACTCTGGCCTGACTCTAGCTCGGCTGAAGTTCGACGGAAGCTCGTCTCAAGGCGACGGACGTTCGACGCATCATCGACGCATAAGTTGAGCGAGAGGCTCCAGGGAGGTACCTCAAACGAGCGTCTGAAAGAATCGTGCTGCTTCTATAAAAGTGTGGCCCCCCCCCCCGAAGCGCCCCCGACGCTCGTCCCGGCGGGCTCCGCGCACCCAGGGGGGGGGGGGTGCAGCGCCGATCAAGGAAGTCCACGCGGAGCTCCAAACGTTTATGGTGAATGCTGCTCTTTGTTCTTGAACCGAATGGAGATCAGAGGTCGATAGACCTCCTACCCTGACACGTCGATTAGCGAATTGGCCGTTTCCGGTTCGCGGAAGGGCGCCGCGGCCGCCATTTTTGCGGGCCCAGGTCCGTCGGTTTCGGCCCTAGGCCCTTTCCACCAGAAAGGGTGGTTTCCTCAAGGGAGGCTCGTCCACCGCCGAGGAGACGGGGTGCGGGGCGGAGCGTCGTGGGATGCTGGAGGGCAGCGCGCTCCTCAGGGGCAAGCCCTGGAGAAACGCGCAGGGCTCTGGAGGGCTCCGTCGCGGACGCGGTGCGCGGGGCGTGTGCTCCGTGCACTTACGGCGCCCTCCAGCAGCGCGGCCTCCCCTCCCCGCCCGCCTGCACCGGCGCCAGCGTGGACGCTTTTTCCAGCCACCCTGCCAGCGTTTGTGAAGCACCTCGAAGAACAATTGGCGTCACCCCAGCATACTTATGCTATGCCAAGGGCGTAAAAAAACGCCCCTACCCTGGTTTGTGAGGCGCTGTGGGCTGAACCTCCTGCGGGCTGACAGGGTAAGCCCTGTGTATCGCGTGTGCCGAGCGGCGTCCTTCGGCTCTCTGGCCTGTGGGAGCTCCCAGGAGGTTTACTGACCACGAATTCTAACCCAGGGTAGGGGCGTTTTCTCATTCCTCAACTATATGTGCGTCGCCCCCCCAGGGGCGACGCGCGCACCGAGAAATCTTGTAGTACACGTGTCGCGGCGGGCGCTTTCTGGCCGCAACGCTCGGGAAAGGATCTGCTGCAAGATGGGTATACTGTATGTTCGGGTCGGACGCGCGCCTCCCAGGAGAACATCTGGTACTAGTATGTCTCTGTGCGCGTCCCAAACCACACATGGTATAACATGCACTTTCGAAGTTCCGCGCGGATTTCTTGGATCGGTTCGGGCCCCCCGGCGGCGTCTCTGGCGCCGCACCTGGCGCGCTCCGCGCGCCGAGGAGGGGGTTCCTCGCGACGTCGTGACGCTTCCCGCGTCCAGACTGCCTCTCCCCCTCCCTTGCCGTGACACCCGTCGGCGGATCCAGAGACGTCAGCGCCAAGAGAAGCGGCGGTGGGAGGGGCAGGATGCAAGCTGTGGCGCACGCGCACCCCGCTTGCCCCCTCCCCACTTCTCCTCCTGGCTTTGGGCCTTCCTCGAGGAGGAGACTGGGGCAATGGAAGACCTTGGCGTCGCTCGGATGTGTGCATTTCTTTCTCGGCGAGGACCTCCGAGGAGCATCCGCGACCATCGGGCCAACAAAAACATGCACGAAACCGAGCGATGGCGAGCGAGGACGTCCGAGCGACGGCGAGAGAGGGCACCGAACTGGTGGGCGTGGGGAAGGCAGCCGTTCGGTGCTCTGCAGAGCCTCTGGTGGCTCCTCCGCCCCCCGCAGCGCGACGGGATTTGGGCCCGAGCTCCTCCGCCTCCTCCTCCTCCTCCTCCTCCTCCTCCTCCTCCTCCTCCCGCGGCACTCTTGGAGGGGGCTCCTTGTGCCGATATGGCTGTCCTGGCGAGCCAGCGCATCAGAGCGGGGCTCATCTCGACGAATCCTCCGATTCGGTTCGGTTCGACTTCGATCGCCTCCGAGTCCGACTCGGTTCGACTTCGGATTCGGATTCTGATTCGGATTTCGCAGTGGCGGCCTACCAGCCTGCCGATTTCCGCCGATCCGACTTCTCCCGACTCGGCTGCCGATTCCTGCCCAGCCGATTCATGTCGATCGCCGATCCGACTGTTCGATAAGACTCTGGGCTCTCCTGCCAACGCCGTGGAGGCGCAAACTCGAGAGACACAAAGGCACGTGGATCAGCGGCGGGTCCCGTTCACTCGGGCGTGGACAGAACCCACACCCCGACACGTCAATTAGTGAAGTGTCTGTTTTCAGTTCTCGAGAGGGCACCGCGGCCGTCATTTTCCAGGCTTGCGCCCGCCAGGCCAGGTCGTTTTCACTAAACTACGCTGAGGAGGAGGAGGACGAGGAGGAGGAGGGGGAGGAGGAGGAGGAGGGGGAGGAGGAGGAGGCGGCGGCGGCGGCGGCGGCGGCGGCGGCGGCGGCGGAGGGCGGCGGAGGAGGAGGAGGAGGAGGCGGCGGCGGCGGCGGCGGCGGCGGCGGAGGAGGAGGAGGAGGAGGCGGCGGCGGCGGCGGCGGCGGCGGCGGCGGAGGAGGAGGAGGAGGAGCGGCGGGTCCCGATCACGTGCCAGTTCGGCGGCGCGCTCCGTCGCCGAGTCGGGCCGCCTCGGCGCCCTGCTTCGGGGGATCCGCGTTCTCTGCGGGCCCGTGGAGAAGGGGCGCCCACGCGCCGGGCATTGACGGATTCCTGCTGCATGCTGCCGCCTCCCGACAGAATGCCGGCGGCAATCGCCGCTCCTGGTGTAGCTCGGGGGCGGCAAGGAGGGGGGTGACGACTAGGCTGGGGGGGGGGGGAAATCTTGGCGGGGGCCATGATATCTCCTCAGATTTCGTGGCGCCTCTTCTTATTTCATTGCGTCCCTGGCCCCCCCCTGGGCCGCGCACATGCCCCTGGCCATGATCTGCGCCCTCCCCTCTTGGACGCCCCCCTCTTGGCCGCCCCCGAAAGCCGTGGATCTTGTGTCTGTGTGTCTTCACGACAAGAACCCTGGTCCCCAAGGCGTGGTCGCCGCGGAGCGTGTAGTCGCTGGCAGTGAAGTCGATTGAATGTGCGGGCCGATTGCCGAGACAGTTGCCAAGGCATAAGACCGTGGCTGGGGACTGGTCGGGAGGCACTGTCGGCTATTCGTGATAGGCCAGCGATGCGTTTGACCTTGAGGGGTGGAAAGATATATATATATATATATATTTATATATATAGAGAGAAAGAGACATAATGAGGCAAACACATGTTGCAATGTTCATCGGATTAGAATCGTGTTTCTGTGGTCTCTGGACGCTTGAGCCTTCTAGCTTGTTGTTCCACATGATTGCTCTTGTAGCCGCACTGTTCTTTACTTGTCGTAGCATTCAGCTCCATATCGGAGAATGCGGGCAACCTGGGATTATCATCCTTCGTTGTTGTCGTTGTCGTCCTTATGCCTCATGTTCCACCCATCCGTGTCGTTGCAGCAAGTCTCATTACTGTATCAGCGAAGCATCGAGGCGCGCGTGGGATTGTTCTGCCATTAACTTAGCGTGGTTCTGCTGGTGCTGTTGGAGGTCGTGGTCCTGGGGCCGCCGTCGACGACATCAGGGCCGCTCAGCTGGGCGACCGGGGCATGCGTTGAGCAGCCTTGAAGGGGACGCGGAGGTAAGCGCGCTTCGCGCGTCGCGGTCTAGGCCAGAGCGGCCGCCCTTCCCCAAGGGGGCGGCACCGGGGCTCGAAGATGACCGCGCGAAGTTGGGCGAGCTAGCCGCTTCAATCGGCTGCGCCTTCGGAGCTTTCCGGAATCGCCGGGAGTGGCCGCCCAGGGAGCTCAGCTTGTGGCCTGAGGACCCTCCCGAGGAGGTGGGGGAGGAGGGGGAGGAGGGAGACAGTATCCCTCAGGGGAGGGAAAGGTACCCATGCCTCTAACCTTCCCCCTTTTTCCCCGTTTCGGGCCTCCTTGGAGGCTCTCGTCGCCACCGCTGGACTCGCCTCGAAATCTTGATCAGAACGCGCCCCGGGAGGTCCAGGGAGCAGCGGTATCCCTACCTTTTGCTTTCCCAATCCCAGACATCCGATGCGTGGGCCCCGGAGGTCTGGACCACTTTTGACGGTCCCGAGCCGTCCTCTGACGGTCCCGAGGCCCGGCGATGGTCCCCGGAGGCCCAAGCGGGCAAACACCCGCCGCTTCAGTTTTCTCGGGGCGTTGGATTGGTACAGGGGGAGGAGGGAGACAGCACTGTGAGGTTTCTCGCCTTGTTGGAAACTCCGCTCTCCCGATGGCGCGAAGACGACCGCGCCCTGCGCATCGCGGCGCTGGTGCACGAAGTCACGCGACCCAGGCCTCGGGCCAGTCTCTTGGTACCGCTCGGACGTGTGCACTTCTTTTTTCGGTGAGGACCATCGGGGAGCATCCTGGGCCATCCTGCGAACAATACGCGCGAAACCGCAGATGCACGGGGAATGGACGTCCGGGCGATGGCAAGGCCTGGGGCTGGCGCTGGGCGGGTCGCCTGCGCGCGTCGCGGTGGTGCCGTCCTGGGGGCTCCGTGTTCGGCGGCGAGATCCGAACCCTGCCCCGGAGGCGGACACGCTCCTCCACACGGGGAGTGTTCGGGAATAGGAAAAACATGGTCTGGTGACGAGGTTTCATCCTCTCTGGGCTACTTTTTGGGATTGTTTGTTCGAGTCTTTGTTTCTCTGCCTGAAAGCCTGCCTGTAGGATGACATGCCTGGCCGAACCCAATCCTACCTTCGCTGATCAACGATTCAGACAACTCTAGGGGCGGCGGGGTGGGGCTGGGGTGCGGAAATTGTCAAAATTGTCGAACACAAAACCGAACCCTACCCTCGCCGATCCACGATCCAGGCCACGACGTCGTCGTCGTCGTCGTCGTCGTCGTCGTCGTCGTCGTCGTCGTCGTCGTCGCGTCGGCGTCTTCGTCGTCTTCGTCGTCGTCGTCGATTAAAGCGGGCCTGCGCAGCACCCCCTGAATGGGCATCCGCAGTGCGTCGTCGTCGTCGTCGTCGTCGCCGTCGCCGTCCGCCGTCCGTCGTCCTCGTCGTCGTCGTCGTCGTCGTCGTCGTCGTCGTCGTCGTCGTCGTCGTCGTCGTCTTCGTCGTCGTCGTCGTCCTCGTCGTCGTCGTCGTCGTCGTCGTCATCGTCGTCCTCCCCGTCGTCTCGTCATCGTCCTCGTCATCGTCCTCGTCCTCGTCATAGTGGTCGTCGTCATGGTCGTCGTCGTCGTCGTTGTTGTCGTCGTCGTCGACGACTGCTCCGAGCCTACTCCTCGTCGTCGTCGACGAGCACAGCGGGGTTAAACAACACCCCCCATCCCCCATAGGGCATCCGCAGTGCGTCGTCGTCGCCGTCGCCGTCGTCGTCGTCGTCGTCGTCGTCGTCGTCGTCGTCGTCGTCGTCGTCGTCCTGATCCTCGTCCTCGTCCTCGGGCTCGTCCTCGTCCTCGTCCTCGTCGTCGTCGTCGTCGTCGTCGTCGTCGTCGTCGTCGTCGTCATTGTCGTCGACTGCAGCACCCCCCTTCTGCGGCCACCGCAGTGTATTGTCGTCGTTCGTCGTTGTCGTCGTCGTCGTCGTCGTCGTCGTCGTCGCGTCGTCGTCGCGTCGTCGTCGCCGTCGACGTAACCGTCGCCGTCGCCGTCGCCGTCGCCGTCGCCGTCGCCGTCGCCGTCGCCGTCGCCGTCGCCGTCGCCGTCGCCGTCGCCGTCGTCGTCGCCGTCGTCGTCGTCGTCGTCGTCGTCGTCGTCGTCGTCGTCGTCGTCGTCGATAACAGCGGGCATGCGCAGATCAGCCCCCCCCCCAAGAAACATCCGCAGTGCGTCGTCGTGCGCCGCCGCCGTCGCCGTCGCCGTCGCCGCCGTCGTCGCCGTCGCCGTCGCCCGCCGTCGTTGTCGTCGTCGTCGTCGTCGTCGTCGTCGTTTTTTTCGTCGTAGGACGTTGTAGTGGAGGGAGGGGACGGAGGGAGAAGGGAAAGGACGAGCCCTTTCCGCTTGCCTCTTCCGCTCCTCCTCCCTCTGTTTTTTGTTTGTAGCCATGTCGGCACTGCCCGCCAGCCGAGGCGCCTCTTTCCCCCGCTTCTTTTTCCTTCTCCTGCCTGTATCCATTTTGGCCCAGACGCCCCAGTATATCGGAGGCGTGGCTGTCCCCTTCCGCTGAAGCGGCGCCGCTTGCGTCGCGCCCGTCGCGATCTTGCTGTCGGCATGGTGTCGGTGCTAGTCATCGGCGCTGCCGCCGTGCATTTCGTTTTGGCGGGCGTCCCCCCCGCGATCTGCCCGAGCAGGGTCACCTTTTTCAAATAGCGCGCCCCCGCGGATCTGTTAACCACACGCTGACATTTTGGCGATAGCGAGATTTTGAGAAGGAACCACCGTCCATCTGTGGACTAGTTGAAATGGTTTACGACGAATGTGTGCGGCGATGTGGCGAGTGCCATACTTTGAAAACGAGCCGCCCCGCGTCCAGGACACTTCTGCAAGGGCCAAGTTTTCGGATCGTACATGGCGAGCAAGTCCCAGGAGAAATGTCCAGCCCGCCCTACCAACACGTCTGGTGGTGCGTCAGGGGGAGCTGTTCGAAAAGTGCGTTGATTCAGGAGGAAGAGGACGAGTGTGGAGACGGGAGAATGTGGAGAAGGAAGTGGGCGAATGTGGAGATCACTGATCATAATAATCGTTTCAATAAGAATGGTACGGATGCGAAGAAGACCCGTACCAATGATAATTATGATAAATGGTAATAACCATATTGTTACCAACCATGGGAATACACAGTGGTATTACATATAAGAAATTGAAATATGCGAGTAATGCTACAATTGTAACCAATAGTAAGAATATCACTACGATATTATTATGGACCACAAGAAAGAAGCGCACACTCAACATATTCATCATAATTCTTTCAGTACGGAAAATAATATGAACACTCTGAACAATATTACATATAACACGACGGTACATAATATATGAATAGCACTACGGTGAAACGCAATACGACGACTTATACGAACACGAACACCAGCATTAATAGTATTAGGACGGGCAGTAGTAATACTATGAGAACTATTGCGCATATCACTCATACGGCTAATACCCTTACGATGAATAAGCAAGTGAATCATAATAATATGATCATGACTAATCATATAGCTACACTAAATATAATGAACATATTTCCAATACTCATCATACCACGAACAAGAAGAGCACGAACACCAACGACTCATATTAATAATACTGGTAATACGAATAACGTGAATGACATTATTTGTTGTAATTCACATATACTACTACTGATCACACTCACAATAATAGTGTTACTACTAAGATTCATTTTACCAATAACATCTGATTAAACATACGAACCACATTAGTAATACTAATACGTATGACATTATTTATTTCAATAGGAGGAGGAGGAGGAGAAGGAGGATGAGGCGGAGGTGGAGGAGGAACAACAACAGGAGGAGGAAGAGGGGAATGAGGAGGAAGGGGAGGACAAAGATAATGAGGAGGAGGAGGACATTTTCTGAAACCCCTCCGTCGCCGCAATGGAACCCATCGCAGAACGCTGCGAGCCGTGTGCGGTGCAAAGCAATATATGATTTCGCATGTGCCCAAGGTGAACGCCCAGAGCCGAGCGAAACTATATCTTTCGACGAACGTCTTTATCGAAGACGCCTACGGCGAATCACCGCCGCCCCCTGCCCCCGTGGAAGCGCATATGTGGCCGACAGCTGGGCTAGAGCTTGGCCAAACTATCGGGCCAGTTGTTCCCCGAGTCCGTTTGGAGAGCCTTCGGGGAACGCGTGGGGGCCCAACAGGTTTGGAAGCGCCCATATGTCCGAGCGTTGTGGCAAGAGCTCAGCCAAGCTATCGGACCATGTGTTCCCCCAACCGTTGTGGAATCCCTTCGGGGAACACTTTGGGGAGGATGGCGGCCCTCTTTGGGCCTTCCTGGAGGCCCTCTTGGAGGCTCTCTTGGAGGCCCTCGGGCAGTCTTGGAGGCCTCTTGGGGGCCTCTTTGGCCGTCTTGGGCCAGCTTGGGGAGTTTTTGGGACTTCTCGGGGCTTCTTTGGTCGTCTAAGGGCGTTCCTAGCCCGTCTGACGCCGTCGGGAGCCGTCTTGGGGGCCTCTCTGAACTGGCTTTGGGCCCTCTTGGGGCGCTTCGGGGCCGTCTTGGAGGCCATCTTGGGCGTCTTGGAGACCTCTCGGCCCGTCTTGGGGCCCTGTTGGGGCCGTCTTGGGAGCCTCTTGGGCCGTCATGGGGCCATCTTGGAGGCCTCGTGGGCGATCTTGGGGCGATCTTGGGGGCCTCTTGGGCCGTCTTGAGCCGTCGGAATGCCGAGAAGAATGAAATGCCAACATCCTTCAAAAACCTAGAACAAATCAATGACTTTGATCTCTTCGGGCCCTCCTGGAGGACCTCTTGGAGGCCTCTTGGGCCGTCTTGGAGGCCTCTGGGGGGCCTCTTGGGTCGTCTTGGGCCGTCTTGGACTCTCTTGGGCCGTCTTGAGGCCGTCTTGGACCATCTTGTGTGGACTTGGAGGCCACCTTGGACCATCTTGGAGGCCATCTTCGGCCAACGTGGCCATCTTGGAGGCCATCTTGAGCTGTCTTGGAGGATTTTTCCGGATTGAGGTCCTGTCTGGGTGGTCGGCGGGACGCGCCGGAGCCCCAGGGGGAGCTCTTCTGCAAAAGAACCAAAACCAAAAACGATAGGATTTGGCACGCCAGGCACCCCTCTTGCAAGCAGCAGGGGGCGGCGGATCGAGTGACCTTCGGTCCATCCCGCCGCCGCCGTGCAGGGGCTGCGGTTTGGAGGCCTCTTCGATGCATATGAGTCTCTTGGGATGACTCTTGGAAGCTGTTGGGGGGCTTCTCGGGGGCCTCTCGGGGGCCTCTTGGGACGTCTTGGGGGCCTCTTGGGGGGCCTCTTAAGGTGTTTTGGGGGGGCTTCGAAAGCCTTCGGGGCTCTTGGGGCCATCTTGGTAGGAATGCTCGACATGTCCGTGCGTGTTCACAAACATCTTTATCAAGCGCCGGACCGTTTTGCGGGAGAGCAGACCGGGGAGAGCCTGGAGATCCGTTGCGAGACTTCGTTTTTTCTTAGGTGCTCTGACGTCCATCACGGACAATTTCGTTTGGATGGCCAGGCTATTGGCACTGGAATGGGCTGGGTCTTTACTACCGTTCGCGCGACAGCTATCATGCGAACATCGTAAATGCATAGCACTTGTACCAAACGGGTGTGTTTGGGAGCAATCGTGCGAACGCGTTCGGTTGGAGCAACGCCTGCCGGCGCACCCGCGGTCACTTGGTCCCCTGTCTGTGTGTCTGTCTCGATGGGAGTGATGCAGATCAGATGCCAGCCAAAAGAAACGGCGCAGTGTTATGGGCTTCGAGAGCCGCACGAGCTTGATACAGGTGCAAGACGGCGGAGCAGCTCCGAATTCAGCCCAGCAGGACGCCACCGACCAACCAAGACGACAACTCCTGGGGCGGCGACCGTCCGAGTATCAAGCGGACGAGATCCGGGGAAGACCCGCCGGTCGTTGAAAGCAGGTAGTTTTGGATGTCCGGGTCCGAAGATACTTCTGGCGCCTTCCGACTTCACGAAATGATATGCTCTTGCTGTATGTTGTTATTCTCTGGTAGGGCCTCAGCTCACTCTATCCACCTTCCTCTGTCATGCTTCTACCTACTTCTTCCGATCGACGTGCCATGTCCTGGCAGTAGAAGCACGCGGTCGCCAAGCAACGATCAGAAGAACGAACACGGAGGCCAGCGATCGCCCTACTGGCTACTTGTTGTCAAAAGCCTTTCGAGGGAGCCTTCCAAGAGCCTGCCAGAAGCCTTCCAGGAACATCTCGGGGGCTTCTGCGCTGTGGGGGCACGTGGTACCGTTTTGGACCGCCCACTTGCGCCGTGCACGCGTGTTGACCAGGTTCGCCCCTCTGCCCAAGAGCCCTGCTCCACTGAAAAGAAAGAGCCTTGCTCCGCTGAGGACTTGTGCGACCACTTGCGAACCCTACCCCCACTGGTCCACTCGACGCTGGGGTATCGGACACCCCCGCCAGTTGGGGTTCAACTGGCTGGAAACATCCTTCAATTCTGCCCCCCTGCCAGTTTTTCGGAAATCGGACCTGCAGGTGTAGTGCTCACATGTGGTTGCTTGGGACCCCAATCTCGAAAACGTACTTGCCACGCCCCTGGCGGATTCTGGACAGGGGGGCGCTCTCGTCGCCACATGGCCGGCTCTGCTCGAGGAGCCCGCCGGCACGGCACGGTATGCAGGGAAGGATGCGGGGAGCAGTGCCGAAAGGGCTCCTCATGCGCACGAGGGCACGCTGACATCCTTGCGGAGCCGAGGCAGTGCCTGTCTGTCTGTCTGTCTGTCCGTCTGTCCTGTCCGTCCGTCCATCAGTCAGTTAGTCTGTCTGTTCCCCGTGGCGTGAGGGAGCGCTCGCCCAGAGCGTGCACGCCCTCGTCCATCCCAAAGGCATCGTCGTCGAAATTGCCGTTGTCGTCGTCTTCGTCGTCGTCTTCGTTGTCGTCGTCGTCGTCGTCTTAGTCGTCGTCGTCGTCGTCGTCGTCGTCGCCGTCGTCGCCGTTGTCGTCGTCGTCGTCGTCGTCGTCGTCGTCGTCGTCGTTGTCGCGGTCGTCGTCGTCGTCGTCCTGCTCCCCCCTCTCCTTGCTCTCCGTGTGAGCTCGACGCTCTCTCGGCCGCTCAGTCGTCCTGCCACCGCCGGCCTCCTGCCGCCTTGGGCCGCACGGCGTCTCGCCTGGCCTCCCCTCCCTTCCTCCTGCCCTCCCCTCCCCTCCGCTCCCGTCCCCTCCCCTCGCTGCCCCTTCCCTCCCCTCCCCTCCCCTCGCCTCCTCCTCATCCCCTCCTCATCCCCTCCTCCTCCTCCTCCTCCTCCTCCTCCTCCTCCTCATCCCCTCCTCCTCCTCCTCCTCCTCCTCCTCCTTCTCCTCCTCCTCCTCCTCCTCCATCCCTTTCTCTTATACATGACTCTTTCGTGTCGCGCCCCGAGGCGTGTTGGTAGGGCGGGCCGGGCGTTTCGCCCGAGACTGCTTCACCGCTTACGATTCTGAAGGCTTGAAGTTGCAGCAGGTTTACGAATGGAGGGCGGGTTGTTACCGAAATGTGGCTCTCGCCTTCGTGTCGCGCAAATTCGTCATAAACGTTGGGACAGGTTCACGGATGGAGGGCGATTCCTTTTCAACATGTGGCTCTCGCCCTAGTGCAGCGCAGATGTGCTTCAAACGTTTGCACTCGTTTTCAGGACTCTTACTGTTGACGCCCCAGACATGGTGTGTTGGCGCGATGTAGGATTGGCAGAGCGCAGCAGTCACGTTTATTCGAGGTGTTGAAGTCCCAGGAATGATATCTTGGCGCGACTCAGGATCGTAAGGACGCAACAGTAACGTTGATTCACACGTTTGAACTTCTTGGAACGGCGTTTTGGTACTGTGGAGGATTTTCCGACGCTTGTCTTTCAAGGGGGCATTCCCCGAAATAAGAATCTATCTTTGCAGGGACGTATGAAGAGGGAACTTGGGGGGAGGATTTGCTTCAACACCGTTGATGACCCTTGGGTTTTCACTGGTCCTTCTACGCTTTCCGTGCCTCCTCTTTCTGAATATCAGTGGTGAAGTAGCGTGCAATAGCACCAGCAGGGTCACGGAACGCGAAACGGTACGGTCAAAGCACCGTAACCACTTTGGCTCAAGAACCGAGGCGCCAGCGTGCCTCGTCCGAAAAAGGTAAAAACCTATTGGTCCATCTGCTAGTGTGGCGCAGCCGCCGCCTTGCATATCGGCCAATTACAGGTTAAGAGCCTTGAGCCCCTGCCGACTGAGCGAGGGGAGTGGGGCAATGGATCCCTCGCACCCGGGGCAACAAGCATTGATGGCGGTGTTTAGGTGCTTCCTGCCGTTGTGGCTCACGGCGGGCGCGCCCGCGGCGGGAGCGTCACGATCCCAGGAGCTGCGTTCCGAGGCCGTGGGGCTGCGCGAGGAGCTGCGCGCCGAGCTGCTCGTCGTGCAAGGGGGCTGGCGCCTAGCACAGGAGGCTGCGCAGGAGCACCGCCTGACCGTTACGGACAGCGCGATGACGAGCTTCTGGCTGCTCCTGTGCGGCGCGCTGGTGATGACCATTCTCGCGGGCATCGCGATGCTGGAGACCAGGAGCACGTGGCTGAAGAACGTATCGATTGCCCTGATACAGCACATCGTGCACGTGTATGTTGTCACGCCCAGTTGGCTCTTGTTCGGGTGGGCTCTGGCTCGCGGCATCGACGACGCCGCGGCCCACACGGCGAGTGCAGGGGGCGGCTTCATGGGCACCGACGGCTGGCATGCCAAAGGCTCCAACGATGGCGACGCTGACGGGAACATCACCTCCACGGGCACCGCGCGTAGTTGGTGCTTCCAGTTGGCCTTTCTCACGATCGTCGCGACCATGGTCAGTGGCGCGGTCCTCTTTCGCAGGCTGAGCGCCATGTGCGCGGTGTACACCTTCATGCATGCAGTTCTCTACCACATGGTCGTCGCACGGATGTGTGAGTATGATTGGACCATCACCTTGATTGACTTTGGGAGTATCGATTTCGCGGGCAGCGGAATAGTGCACGGGGCAGGCAGCGTGAGTGGGCTCGCGGGCAACATTGTGTTGGGGCCACGCGGGTGCTGCCGCGAGGAGCCCAATCATTTCGACGAAACGGGCTTGCCGCTCGTCTTGCTGTGCACCTTCATCCCGTGGCTCGGTTGGCATTGCTTCAACTGCGGCTCCACCCTCCTGGTGAACCAGAGAAGCGGTAGTCTTGGCCGTCCAGGTTGCCATAAACAGGACAGAAGCCACCTCGACAGGCGGCATTTCCGTCTTCTTCTTACGGCACTGGGTCACGAGGGCGTACGACGTAGGCGGCCTGTGCGGCAACATCTTGACCAGCCTGGTGTCCATAATGGCAGCTTGCGGCAATGCGCGGGCAGCGAATTGTCATTGTTGCCCTCATCGACGTTTTCGTGTACCAGGGCTCCTTCATGCTGCTCCAGGAGCTCAAGATCGACGACTCGGTTGACCCTATCCCTTTCCATGGCTTCTTCCATTGCTTAGGCGTGTCATCTGGGGCGCTTTTCGATTGTTTTTTTGATCACTTCCACGGTTGGCGCGGCTGCCGTTGCAGAATCAATGAAGACGTTTGTGCCGGCAAGCGTGGGAGTTTACACCATGCGCGATGACGGTCCATTTTGCAGGATTGCACCCCCGAGGTGTTGTCGCCGTCGTTGATTCTATTTAGCACTCCTCCTTATGTATATGTTGTATTTCTTCCTCTCTCTCTCTCTCCATCTCTCTCTCTCTCTCTCTCCACTTCCCTGTCCCCAGTCGCTGCGCCAACCTATCGATATGGTTGGTCATGTGCTCGTCGGTTCGTCTGCCGATGTTGCGTTTATCTTTTGGTGACCCGCGCGTTTGAAACTTGTTGCGTTTCTTCTTGCGGTGCACGGCGTGCGCTTATGGCAGCAGCGGTGCTGCGTGCAGCCTCGTAGTATTTACAGGGGCGTGGAACGCGGTGCTTCGCCTTTGCAGGGGGGGCGCCTCCGCGCAGATAGGACCCCCCCGTTCTTGCCGTGGTCCTCGTCCGAGGTCGCGCATCGGCCGCGCTGCGAAAACATCTCAACCGGCGCTGGGTTGACTTCAGCTGGCAGCGGTCGCGAGACGGAGCGCGCCGACTGCTGGGCGCACCTCTGTTTCAGGCGTCTCACAGGCACGGAAAAGCGAGGCTAATGCTTTGGCGCGGGCGCGCCTCGTATTGTTGCACGGGCAGTCCGCGATCGCCTTAGTGCAGCAGGTGCGCGCGAGGGAGAACCGCGCCCACGAGTGGCGGCCGCGGGGCCCTTGGCTAGGCGGACGGAGCCGTCAATGCCGTCCCAATATAAGGAGAATGGCAAGGCTCGAGCAGCGCGTTTCCTCCCAGCGATTGCTTGGCCAAGTCAGCTGTCTCTCGCGGATATATCGCGGTGTCTTTGTCTCGGCGAGTCGCGCCTCTGTGGCGCGCAGCTGCGGACAGCTTCGCAGTTTTCGAGGCGAGCGGCGCCGGCCAATCAGGGGTGGTGGTGCCCGGCCCGCGGCCAATCATCGCCGGGTCGTTCTGCGAGGGGCGCCGCGCGATGTGCAGTTCTGTGCGCGCGGCGTGCTCGGCGAGGGGGGTGTGAGTGAAAGCCTCGTCCTAGCATCCCTGAGCGAGCGTGCGCGTATCAGACGCATTCTGAGTTGAAACTGACTTATTCTTGTGTTCGTGCCATTTTTTTTTTCTTTTTTTATCTCTCCCTTTTTTCTTTTCTCTCTCGTGCGATGTTATCGCTGCGTGTTATCTTTTTGGTGCGTTTTCCTCCTTCCGCAGGCCGAAAGACGTGCCCTGCGGGCGCGGCCGATGCCCGAGCCGCCCATCGTTCCCGATTTACCCGTTGAGGATATGAGCGGTGAAGTAGCGCACCAGCGCGGCCACGGAGTGCGAAACGGTGCGGTCAAAGCACCGTGACCGGTTTGGCTCAAGAACCGAGGCGCCAGCGTGCCTCGGCCGAAAAAGGTAAAAAGCTATTGGTCCATCTGCTAGTGTGGCGCAGCCGCCGCCAGGCAGATCGTCCAATCACAGTCAGACGTTCCAATGTGAAGTTCGCGATCGAGCTGCTCGTCGCCGCGATCAAAGCGTCGGGCCCAGATGTCGCCGCCGCGTGGATCAAAACAAACAGCGGTATTCCCGACGTTCGACGAGCCCGGGCAGCCCCAAAAAAACAGGTTCATATTTAAGTTCTTCGGACAGGTACTGTTTCCCGACGACGAAGGCCCATGTCAAGAGTTGTTGGGGGCGACGCAACAAGCGGACCACGCCCGACACCGCACGAGCCCCCATTCGAGATGCCCGCAGAAATCCCGAATATCAGAGTTGCCCTGTTCGAGGTCGAGACCGTGGTCGAGGGCGGGTCGGGCACGGCGGCGGCAAGCTGAACATGGGCAGAGCACCTCGCGGCAATCTTGCCAGCAAGTCGATGCCCAGGAAGAGGTGGCTAACATGCACGCCTGCGTGATTGGACATTCTCTGACCGCGAGAGGTTGTGGCAGTCTGTAAGCGTCCCAAAGTGTGCGTGCAATGCACTAGCAGCCGGCGTGCAGTCTGGCATCCTCTCTTGTCACCCTTCTTCGGCAGCGAAAGTAGAGTTCCCTTAGGGTTCAGGCATTTTGCCGTCGCCGCTCCTCCTCGCATCCCCCGACAGTGTCCTTGGTCCCGCCCTCCTGGTCAGGGCCTTGAGGTCTTTTGGATGACAAGCAGACGCAGTGAAGGAACGGTTGCGGATCTCTCTTATGTGATCCTGATCACCTACGGTATGGCACCGCGCTTGCCGAATTTTGTGTGATGTGAGGGCCGGGAGTGTAGTGACCGCCCTCGCCTTTCTTCCCGATCTCGAGCCCCCCCCCTCGACCAGGTGGTGGACGGCCAAGCTCCCGTGCAGCGACCTTTCAGCTGCACGGTCATTTGCCACTCTTGCGAGTGCACGGTGCTCCTGGAGGAGCTGCGAAGTAGAGGTTCTCGCGCAACAGGTCGCGCCCCTCCCCCAAGGTTCACGAACACGCCTTGTGACATCAAAGGGGGACTGAATGGGTGAGAGCGAACGATCGAGAACTCCTCCTTTTCCTCCTCCCTTTCCTCCTCCTCCTCCTCCTCCTCCTCCTCCCTTTCCACCTCCTTGTCTGTCCTGAGTCCGGGCCCCCTCGTCGCCGCGGCCGGACGCAGCTAGGAAAACGGGTGCGTTTGGACCTTGGGAGGGGTCCAGGGACCGCCGATTTTGTACCGCCGTTGTCAGAATTCGCCCTGCTCCGACCATCCCCGACGGGCCATGGTGTTTCAGCCCCACCGGCTGACCCCGCGAAACCCGAAGGAACATACATGTAACCCTACCCACCCGAAGGAACGGGCATGTAGCCCCACGTGGGTGGGTATCGATGGTGGGCGAGGGAGGGAATCGAGAAAGAAACGGCCTTATCAGAAAACGGCGGGGCTGACAAGTGTTCTGTGTCTTCGGGAAGGCTTAGGACACCTTTCGGAAAGCCGCAGGGCTTCCGCCCCTGTTGAGAAGGCCCGCCCCCTCTCACTTCCTTCTTTCGCTCGCCGCCCAGGGCAGGTCGGGCAACGGGGCCGAGGCCACGCCAGCGGGGAGAGCCGTCGCTTGCGCGATGTTCACTGCTGCCCGCGGGCGGGCCCGCCCCGCAGGCTCACGGAGATGAGCCTGCCGAGACTACGGCAGATTGCGGAGGACGGCAGCCCGTTCCGATCTTCAGTTGCTGCTCCGCTCTGCTGTGCAGCGCCCCCCCTTTCACCCTCGCCATCCTCTCGGCGTCACCCCAACATGCTGATACTACGTGTGCGCCGCCCCCCAGGGGCGACGCGCGCGCCGAGAAATCGTATAGCCAACGAGGACAAGTAGTGCTGTAGTGTGTTTTGCGCGTCCCTTTCGCAATCCCCTCCCTCGATACCTCCCTCTGTCCACGTCTGTCTTCCGGCGGGGGTCTCTCTAGAGCTGACCGTTGTCTCGATCTTGTTTACTTCGCTTCGTGGTCTATCCGAACGCCAGCGCTTTCGAGCCCTTGAGCCGTATGATGCAGCTCCTGAGAGGTATAATTCAGTATCGGCGCTGGCATATCCGTGTTCGAAAACTGGCCTGATCCGGCATCATGCCGCTTCTATCCGCTGAATCTAGCTTGAAACTGGCCCTGATTTGGTTCAATCCGGCCGCGTTCTGCCCAGTCGGCCCACAATCGGGCATAATAGCCCATTAACCGTTATCACGAAGGCCTCCCAGGAATTGCCCCCTTTCCTCAACCGTGGCCGCCCGCATGCAGGGTGCTGTGCGCCGCTAAGGACCCCCGCTGCAAGGTCAAAGGGAAGGAGGAGGAGGAGGAGGAGGAGGAGGAGGAGGA